AAGCTAGTAGGCTGACAGTAGTTTTTATAAAAGACGTGATCCATGTGACAAAGGCGTGACCATGAGACTTACTCAGAGGCCTTAGCCTCGAATAAGATACTTATACGCAGGGGAGAGAGAATAAGCCTCGAGTTGCACAGAAGGGGTTGTAGGAGTCGAGTAAAATATGTGTACTAGGGAGAGGGCAGGTGCATCTTACGGGGCTAGAGAGAGACTGTGCTAAGACCTAGGGAAGGAGGACTGCGTAACAATATGGCAGACTCTTATCAACATTCCCAGCACAAGGATAAAGGAAGGTGAGAAGACCAGCGTGGAGTGCGGAGGGTTCTTATGAAAGCTGCTCAAAAGGGCACACTGTAGCACATTTAATTAAGCAAGTAAAAATTGTGACAGTGAAGGCGTGATACGAGGATATAGGAAATATAAAAAGGCCAGGGCAGAAGTTGAGATACCATAACTGTTTAGCACACTGTTAGGGGGAACTTTATTTCGTATGAAAGTGCATGAAGGCCCCCCTAACAATGTTATCTCAGGGGATTGATCGAAACCCAGTTTCTCTTTGTTTAGCACAGGTTTAGTCAAAGGATCTCTTTACTTGTCTATTTTACAAGTTGTAATATAGGGCAACAAATGGCGAGACTCACTGACGATGCCGACTACGATGCCGGCGAAACGTCTGGGAATGTACCACATCCACGGACCGACTTTGAAAATGATTATGCATACAATGGATTCCGGACAGGGTACGTTCCTCTAAGTCTTCTTAACAATATGAGCAAGTTGCGAAAACAAGGTCAAACAACCTATATACAACGATAGGAGACTGCGATCACACAAATGGCCACACCATCTTGGTCTTCATACCTTAGATTAAAGTCAAATTATGTTCAACAACTATAGCCTAAGAGATTCCTCGAAACCCAACTTTTCTTTGCATATTCATATTTATTATACATTTGGGCCTCTGATAGCCATTCAAACCTGAACTTGCTAGTTTTTTAAAAATCACCAGTGTTTCATCTCATTAACCAATATACATTATTCTAATTTTAATTACACCCAATATTAGGGTTGTCTCTAGATAAAATTAATTTGTTAAACAAATTAACTTGATTTTGCAGTTCTAGTATTTTAAGTGGCTAATCTTATTTTAAATCTTTCGACAGGTGATTTTCTCTGGCCGTGGCTTGTTTAATCTATCCTTCGTGTGAATACTATCTATGCTTGATCCCTATTCCTTTCTCGACGAACTAAGGCAATCAATAGAATTTAACACAAAATCATGTCTTAAAAACTTGGGCACAAAGGATTGTGGTGATTCAACCCAATTAAAAACCGATGGTTTGTATATTCATTATATATCTTCTAGAGTCTCCTGATACGATTGGTGCTGGAAATGACGAACAGAGTATGATCTGTTCCTTATTAACCGCAGGGTTTAATTTCGATTGCGAAAATATACTCAATGAATTAAAAGCTGCTTGTATTAGAATTAGTGAAACGGAAATTTCCCAGCATAAATCTCTTAGACATTTGCAGCCTCCGGTCTTGTACTTTGACCGCGAATGTTAGTTTGGCATATTTTACGTATTAAGGCTATTTCAATCAAGCTCTAGAGAATCTGGTACAATCTGAAATAAAGAGAAGCATTAACCAGATGGAAACTGGTATGT